GTTAAATATGTTAAAGAGTAGAAGAGGAATGTCTGGCCCACCACAGCGTAGCAGTACGGGAGGAATTCCATCCGTGCCAAACCGAGTAGAAGTTTTAGTTGCATGAAGGGGTTTAGTCAGCTCATGAGCCTGCTGTTCTATATGGGATAGGGTAAACTCAAGTGAAGAAGCAGGAGAAACGGAGACATAGGGTGCATTGATGATCATAGAAGAGCTGAAGAAACAGTTAAAACCATTTGCAGTAGATTCAGGTCAGTTGGCGACTGAATTATCTTGCAATTTTAGGTAAGTTATGTTGGGATGAGAATGAGCATTCCGGGATCGTAAGATACGCGACATAAGTGCTAGTTTTTCTGGTTTAGATAAAACAGACGTTTCCTGCTTTTTATGTATTTGGTTTGTTAGTTCGCGGATTTTGTCGGATATTTTATGTAACAAAATGAAAAGGCAAAAGTCATGAGATTCTAGGTAGGAGGATTGAGCTTTTGCGTATTTATTTTTCAAGCGAATTATGAGGTCAGGTTGATTATACGTGAGACGAGTACGGTAAGAGGTGATGAGTGTCAAACTATGTAGAAAGTTGGATTACAATATATCAGCCACTTGTTGGGATCAGATGTTTGGAAAAATTCATCCAAGTCACTAGCGCGTAAGAGAGCAGAAAAGAGATCTCAGGAAAAGTAAGGTTGAGCCGGATTGGGAAGAGATTGTTGCTTATGATTAACGGGGGCAAAGATTTTACAAGAAACCATTCTGTGATCGCTACCAGGGAAGTAACCGAGTGTACGAGTATCGACACTAGATAGAATTAGAGTGAAAACCAAATCAAGTATGTTATTTTCTATGGTAGGGGATGTAACGCGTTGAGTCCAGTAACCAGTGCGAATGCATGAGACGAAATTGGTAGGGTAAGCAGGAGAGTGGAGGGTGTTCCAGTCAACATTATGTGCATTGAAGTCACCCGCGATCAGTTTGGAACACCTTGGTAAGGTGGCTAGGAAATTAAAAGCGTAAATAATTGGCCGAAAGTCTGACGCACAAGTACCGCGAGGTCTTTATTGACAACCGATTTGGAGGGATGAGCTTGGCAGTTGCAATGTGAGCCAAATTGAATCGTCAATAGAATTTAGTACGGAGTGCTCATTATGGGTTGTGCGGAAGAGACGCTTTGTATATACTAAGCAGCCCCCACCNCTGCTTTTCCCAAATAAGTGATATCCAGATAACGATAGTTGCTCAGATGGAGTGGATTCAGGGAGCCATGATTCAGTAACGAATATCAGATCAGGGCTAGAAGCAAAAACAATATTCCGGAGGGAGAAAAACTTATTCATGATGGAGCGACTATTCAAAAGAAGAAGGGAAATTCCGTAATGCCTATCAGAGGAATGTAGATTACCGAAGGGTGATGCAGTAGGGGGAATTATATTTGGAGAGGGGGTTATGACATCCTCAGAGGAGGTATGGGATTGACTCACGTTGGGATTAATGTGTAGAGAGGAGGGTGTGAGGGGTGGAGGGTTATGGGTTAAAACAGGTGAAACATTGGGGCAGTGAACATAACTTAATGGCACAATAGAAGGGTAGTGATGGGGATGGGAAACAGCGGGGGAGCAGGGACGTTTCGGGGTGGGGGGTATGGGGTGTATATTTGCGTCTGGTGACTTTGTAAATCAGTATGGAAGTATGGAGAAGTAACGGATCCACATGGGATGAGGTGAGTAGAGAAGTGGGGCTTGCCATAGCTCTCTGGATGGAATTCTCTGAGAGAGGGGATAAGAGCTGGGAAGCGTAGATGAGGGGTTACTGACGGGGGTAGAACGGATTATATCTTGGGATAGGCTGCTCAAGAGGAAGATGGGAGTATGGGTGCATGTGTGGGCAATGGGCATGCCCTAGAAATGGTGGTACAATTCGGGGTTGAGCCGAGGGAAAGGGGAGCTCAAGGTTATCATCTGGGAATGGCAAGGAACGACTAGGGACAGGACGGGGTCTTGGGTGTAGTTGGGCTTGAGTAAGTCCACGAGAGAGGGNGGGGGTCACATTTGACGCACAACTTTGGTGATAAAGTAAGTAATACGCATTTGTGGCAGACATTGGGAGGGGGAGGTGTGTAGTTTATTCAAAGTGAGGGGTTGGTCTTGGTTTGGTCTATGTAAGTAGGGCGGGGTGCAGGCATCGTCCGTGGGCGGTTATTGTAAGCAGAATTAGCAGAGCGTTGGGCAACAAAGTTGGGTGTAAGCGAAGAGGGAATGCGGACAGGTACTGAGGGTTGAAGATGTTTAGCATCCCAGCGGGGCGATAAGATATCGAGCTGTAACCGTGACCGTAGGGATCCAATTGCGCTAGAAACCTTCTTTGGGACCAAAGTAGGTGTTTGAGGTGGTAAGGCAGTTAAGCTGAGTGACTTCTTCAATACAGGGCTGGTATATTCTGCCAGTGAGATGGGGGCCACTGGCCGATTATAGCGGAAAGGGGTTCCAGGGTTAACGCGTGTATCGTTTGGACGTTTCGGTGGTGGAGGTTTAGGAGAGGGAGACTGAAGATCATCAAGATCAATAATTGGAGTTTTGGCCTCGGCCTCGGTTCTAGGGGCATCATAGGATACAGGTAAGTTATTTTGGGTGGGAATGGAATTGGCTGAGCTTTTGAAAGTTTCCTTGTGTTGTATTCCGAGTAGCCCTCTGTAGCAGGGTACTATCGGGATATATTTTAATAGCTTTGAATGCTGTGTTTCTTACAACATCATTTCGTTTGGGAATGAACTATTTGGCCTCGAGGTCACTGTGGAATGGGAAAAGAAGGGGGTAGGAGTGCCTTTGGTATCTTTTCCGGAGTCGAATACAATTGTATGGGTTACGGCCCACGTTTGAAGCTTTCAAGATTGTTTCCTTAATCTGAGCTAAAAGAATTTTGTCTGGGACGTTGAAAACAACTGCGTTTTCGGAGTTAGAAACGCGCTTAAGAATTTTGGAGGCTATGGCATCGAGCAACAAACTTGATGGGGCGAGGTTGCTCATTGGTTGGGAGGAGGGGTCCATGAGGAAAACTAATGGGACTGGGGTCGAACTGACCAGTTCTATATGCTTCGCATACTAATTCTTACCGTTATTCACCTCGAGAAACCGACACTTAGACCATATTTCACAGTTCATGACCGACATTCAGCTTGTCCATGTGTGGAGATCCAGGCATCATTGATGGTGCAGTAGTTTAGTCACTGTCACCGGCGTGGTCCGAGGTTCGAGCCCCGCCACCGTTACCCGACTTTGGTGGTAGGCAGCTCTGCTGTCATATGTTCTCGAAACGGAGGGCAATGAAACAAAATAGGGTCTTTACATGAGTCAGGGGATGGGTATTGGAAAGTGAAAATCATGTTACCACACAGCTCTCCCCCCCCCCAGAAGCGGGGGTGGG